CTTCATCTTGCCTTGTGAACTACTTACCTGTAGATAATAGGAAACAAAACAATATCTGCCTGTAAGAAAAAGAACAGTGCAACAAGGACTAAATATTGCAAAAATCAAACTCTCAACAATACCTCACACTGTGAATGAATTGTTTTATACACTAATGATCAGTTACAAGAGAGGTAGAAACCAAAATACAAGTTGATATTACTAGGCCAAGAAGAATCACATCATTTAGATTAGTTAAAAAATATCGGTTTGAACCATAGAAATTATGGCAACTACTAAAATATCAGTAGGCAATGTAGGTCAACCACGCCAGGACCTACATTCAAAGTAAAAAATATTGTAAATAGTACAAATTATGCCAAACAGTAGAATCAAAATGATTAGAGACTGTTGTGTAATATAAGTGGGCAGGACACTGATGAAAAGATGGTAACAAGAGGCACAGGATCCACTGAGGCAACACACACATGATAAGCAGGATAGTAGAAGATATTCAGTTATCCTTATGAGAACAAACAACCGCATACTTACTCTGACCTTATCTTCAGATAGCGATGAAGTACTTACGGCAGAGCTCATGGTGATAAGATCATCCTGCGGCTTGTTTTATCTGAAAACATATCAACACCAGTCCAAGCATATAATCCACAAGCATTAACTCAATGCAATGTTAGTAGTGACCATCACTTATACAGATCTAGGTACAGAGACCATTTGAAACATATCAGCCAAATGCTTTTCACAAAAGATCCAGATAGCAGTATGTCAGTAATGGGACTTCACGTTCAGCGATTTTCACCATTGTTCTGGTAACAGGTGAATTTTACCTGAAATAGTAAACCTGGTAGAATGGTCAGGTGACTGAAGAAACCTTCCCATGTCAAATAAAATACTTGCAATACCCAGGATCAAAGTTACATGGAGCATGAAAGCCTAAAGAATGCCCTTTATTGCAGGAAGGAAATTATAATGTTCCCCTTTAGAACAGGGAAATCTGTGGGACATTCTGATCTTTAACCCCTTTGGTACCAAATGAACGCCACTACTGACATGCATTAAATGGATTGCCAAACTCAAGATCCCAAACGGATAAAATAGCAGAATACTGAATATAACAAATAGCACATTTTACAATTTATAAAGTTTATGCTTTAACCCCTTACGGACACATGACATGTGTGACATGTCATGATTCCCTTTTATTCCAGAAGTTTGGTCCTTAAGGGGTTAAGGAGGTTTACTCAGTTCTAAAGAATATTCTAAACCAGCTCCATCATTGAGCTGAAATCTACATAAAAATTGTAAATCAGACAAGGGATAGTGAATTTCTCTAAGTAGACTCTTGCAGAACATAGAAATGATTACTAAAGTTATCACCAGGTGAAAATAAAAAGCCAATATCAACAGCTTTAAAATTACAGTTAAATTAGATTTGAAAAAGTAGGACATACCAGTGAAAACATTCAGGTAATTGCTTCAGAGTTACCTACTCATGGGAGCAATAAATGGCCAAAGTTGTGCACCTACAATTAGCAGGATCTACTTAAGCTGTGCCACCACAATCAGCAAGATTTACTAAGCTGTTCATCTGCGATCAGCAAGATCTACTAAGCTGTGTGCCTGCAGTCAGCAAGATCTACTAAGCTGTGTGCCTGCAATCAGCAAGATGTTCTAAGCTGTGCACCTTAAGTCAGCAGAATCTTGATCAAAGAGGAGAAGATACCTGGCAATAGAAATACTTTTGTAGAATTGTCTCATGTGTAAATACATAGTTGTGCACACAAAAAACACTAACTCTATTGATCATTACCATGCTCCATTTTGGAAATCAGGTCTCCTCCTCTCTTGGGAGAGGAACCCAGACAGGTTCAGTAACACTTGCAGTCCATCTGAAGTTGTTAATTGTGTTAATTGCTTATACTGAAACACCTGTGGGAGTAGGTTTAAAACAGACCTCGGATATGGTAGCATACATAAAGGGGGCATACCCGATAGTCGACTTATAGAAATGTGGTATACTGTGTCTTAAGGAAAAAGAGGCTTAGATTCACCTGAGCCTTGTGTATGCAGTGGATCTATTTATACTAGTTTCAGAGTTCTCTTTTCTGTCATCTCTGCTGTGAAGGGAGGAGCTAACCCATAAATAAATGCTACCATGATTGATCAGGAAAGTCTACTTTGTCGGACTACTCTTTGGTGAGGACACACCATGGAGTACCAAAGTAGTGTTCTCAATATCTGCTGCTGGTTGTGATAAATACAGTGATGATAACTCTGTTTCCCCCACAAATGCAGCCCTATGGCATAAGAGCTACTTGACTATGAGTTTGATGAGCTAATAATAAAAAAAAAAAAAACTAAATTAGCCCCAGGTGCCTTACCTAAAATAAAAAAAGAAATTAATGAGAATAATCCTTTCAATAAATTACAGAAACTAAAAGGATTTTACAAGTGTGGAAATTGCTCAACATTCCTTTTATCAAACAATGAAAAAAAAAAAAAAGTGATGTTTTGAGAGTTTTACAACCAAAGAAAGATTTTATATAAAACATTTTATAAATTGTAAAAGCAGGAATGTAATTTATTTGTTGCAATGTAACTGTACAATACAGTACATAGGGAGAACTGCCAGAACACTACATGAGAGATTTGCAAAACATTTTTATGGTATTAAAAACATCAGTCTTAAGCATTGTTTTTTCAGACATTGTCAAAACTGTAAAGATTCTAACTTCCAGCCTTTACTTCTATAGGCATATATTTGGCTGAGCCCCATTGGAAAGTGGGTGATATAGTTTTGGCACTTATAAAAAAGGAAATGGAATGGATTTTTAAATTAAAAACATTGTTTTTTTGGGGGGGTTATACAGTGAAATAGATATTCTGGCTTTCATGGATTAATGTACTTGGTTTTATTAAAGGCCTACTATAGGCATCCAGACCACTTTAGCTCAATGAAGTGGTCTGGGTGCCAGGTACCCCTAGTTTTAACCCTGCAGCTGAAAAAATAGCAGTTTCAGAGAAGGGTTAATGCAGAGTTAATTCAGTCTCTAGTGGCTGTCTTCCTGATAGATAGATTGATGTGTGTGTATATTTGTATTTATTTGGGGTGTTCTTAACAAAACTCTCTGATAATATATTCTCTCTTTACTATTTAGCTCTTAAAGGGACACTATAGACACCAAAACAACTTTATCTGACTTAAGTAGTTTTAATGTATACATCATATATCATGCCCCTGGAGTCTCACTGCTTAATTATCTTCCCTTTAAATAAATTGGATAATGTTTATGATTATTTTTATAACTATTCACAATTGTCCATTTTACATAACATTGTGTATATTTCCAATTAGTTTAAATGTGTAGTGATACATTTTTAGAAATTCGTATTTATAATACAATTTTTAATATAGTTTATTATATTTTTACAAAAAAAAAAAAAGTCATGCGCTCACTCCCATCACTCCTGGGTGGCAGCAATGACTACAGTACACATCAGCTAATACATATAGTAAAATCCCTATGTATATTTAAACAAATGGAGGTCATTTAGTTACTCCAATAGCCACTGGAGGGAATGCCCGCCTGCCAACGTCAAGGCAGACCCCCCTAGACGGGTCCTACGCTGACCCTTTACCTTGCTTCCTTGAGCTTCTGGCAAAAATATCTCTAATGAGACAGAAAGGGGTATTTTTTTATATACACCCCTATATACTTGTTAACCCTTAATAGGGAACACATGGGATGGGCGGCAGCATTGTAACCTAGCTATGTGATACAAAAAGTGAATACAAATACAAAAAGAAAAGTCCTGCGCTCACTTCCATCACTCCTGGGCGGCAGCAATGACTACAGTACACATCAGCTAATACATAAAGTAAAAACCAAAGAAAAAAAAGGTTAACTGTGCTCTCTCCTTAATCCCGATGTATATTTAAACAAGTGGAGGTCATTTAGTTATTCCAATGGCCACTGGAGGGAATGCCCGCCTGCCAATGCCCGACGAATTACTTTTGTGATCACCCACTAGCGCGAAAGGCTGGAGTGGCAATCCTAATAGCGGCAGATCTGGAATTCCAACAGCTAGATACATTACTTGACCCGCAGGGACGCTATCTCTTTGTGAAAGGGACGATCGCAGGTATGCTTTACACCTTTGCCACAGCTTACGTGCCTAACAGACGACAGGCCCAGTTCCTCAGAGGAATGATAAACAAACTAAACGGCTTTTCTGAAGGAACGCTGGTTCTAGGGGGAGACTTCAATGCTCCCCTAGACCCCATCATGGACTCCTCAACGGGACACAGTAGTATCTCGCAACTCAGCATACGCTCTATGAAGAGATCACTGGGGGACATGGATTTAGTAGACTGTTGGAGGACCCTACACCCCTCTACCAAAGACTTCACATATTACTCGGCGCTGCACGATCGATACTCCCGTATTGATTATATCTTCATTCGTCAAATAGGCCTTCAACGGCTGATATCTGCCAAAATGGACCCTGCAACTTGGTCAGACCACAGTGCTGTTACTATAGAATTCGAATCACCTCTCTTTCGACCCTCCACGTGGTCGTGGAGGCTAAATGAAGTTCTCCTTCTGGAACCTGAGACGCGAATGCAAATCTCCCAGGCGTTGGAACAATACTTCCGAGATAATGACACACCAGATACATCCCCGATTTCAATATGGGAAGCCCACAAGAGCGTCATTAGAGGCACACTTATTCAAATAGCCTCCCGGAAGAAAAAGGTGGCCACACGCGAAATGACAGACCTTTATCGGTCAATCTCAGAACTGGAACAACGGCACAAACGATCTCACCTACTGGAGACATACGGGGAACTGATGCAGGCAAGGAGACGACTGAAGGACCTCCTTACGAAGCGACACCTAAGATCCCTACAATACTCCAAGGGGTTCTTCTATGCCCACGCTAATAAAGGGGGGAAATATCTAGCACGCCTTCTGAAAGGCAACACCCCTCGCACACAGGTCCGCAGCATAAACCTCACATCAGGCGCCACGACGATCTTTCCAAACGAGATCGCAGAAGAGTTTAGGAAATACTACCACTCACTATATAATATCCATACTCACGACGGACACAACAATCAAGATGCGGAGGACGCCCGGATACGAGACTACCTACAAGAATCTATCACGAGAACTATCACTCCAGATATGGCGGAGACGCTGGACAACCTAATCTCCGAGGAGGAACTCTCAGTCGTCCAAAGCAGGTAAATCTCCGGGCCCGGATGGCTTTTCCGTTGGGTATTATAAAACATTTTCTTCCATATTAATGCCATGGTTTATGAAAGCCATTAACGCAGTCTCCACAGGGAAGAACTTCGGAACAGAATCTCAGGCGGCCATAATAACGGTGCTCCTAAAACCTGGAAAGGATCCGAAGGCTTGTGGAAGCTACCGCCCAATATCTTTGCTGAATGTGGATGCTAAATTATTCACTAAAGCCTTAGCAACTAGACTCCGTTCTGTCCTACCGGACCTCATTCACGTGGACCAAACAGGATTCATACCCGGTCGAGAAGCACGTGACAGTACTCTGAGAGCATTCGCAATACAACACAGGGCACGGACGACACGGCAACCACTTCTCCTCCTCTCTACGGACGCCGAAAAGGCGTTTGACCGAGTGAGGTGGAGGTATATGCTTGCGACCCTTAGTAAAATGGGAGTTGGACACAGGCTCCTCACTTGGATTCGGGCACTATATCACAAACCAGAGGCCGCAGTTTGAGTCAACGGGGCCCTAACCACTGCTTTTACAATTTCCAATGGCATGAGGCAGGGTTGTCCACTATCCCCGTTGCTATTTGCTATGTCCTTGGAACCCTTACTCCAAACTGTACGTAACAACCCCGACATTCGGGGATACCCCTGGGAAGGGGTGGAACATAAAGTGGCCGCCTACGCGGATGATTTGTTATTTTTTATCACCTCACCCCGAATCACAATGCCATGCCTGCTGGAAACATTTGATCATTTCTCAGGTTTTAAACTCAACCTGTCCAAATGCGAAGTGCTCAACATCACTATACCCGACACTGAATACCGGGCCCTAGATCCCCTGTTTCCATTCCGGTGGTGCCCCTGCAAGATGAGATATTTAGGGATCTGGATCACATCGAACCCGTGAGACCTCTACACTTTGAACTTCGACCCACTACTGAAGACGATCCTGGCAGACCTGGGGAAATGGACGTACCCGCATATCTCATGGTTTGGGAGAATAGCAGTTCTCAAAATGAACATCTTACCCAGACTCCTATACTCTTTCAGACACTCCCACTAGCTATACCCACACATTTTTTCAACTCAATACGATCAGCGGTTATACGTTATGTTTGGAAAGGGGAGAGGCCGAGGCTTCGACATGAATTGCTTTGCCTGCCGAGATGCCGGGGAGGATTGGCGCTACCAGATTTCAAACGGTATCATCAAGCTACAGTCCTCCAACGGATTTTAGAATGGCACACTGATATACACCGGAAACAATGGGTAGCTCTAACCAGAGACGGACAAGAAGCTCGTTTAAAGTCAACTATATGGGCAGGGGGTCGTAGAACAGGGGATAGAGGTGAGTCAACAGGGATTATAGCCCAGACACTGGCCAGCTGGGCCCACATGAGAGAACAACCCCATATCTCCCCTGTACCAAGCCCGCTGCTTCCCATCACTCACAATCCAGCAATAGGAGGGGGTTTTCCGACGACGGCATGGCCATTTGCGGAGGGCCGCGAATACGTACCCATCTTCACGGTTCTGCGAGATGGCAACATGCGAACTTTAAACTCCCTGCTAGGAGAAACACCTCGTACACCCTTGGTAACGCTACGCTACATGCAGGTACACCACTACTACAACACCATGAGCAATAAAGAAAAACTACACAGAGACCTTACCTGGTTTGAAACGAGATGCGAACGAGGCTCATCGCTGGACAAAACCGTATCCACCTTATACCAACATCTCTTGGTGGGTAACCTAGCAGAAAACAACACTTTTCGTAGGCAATGGGAGACTCTGATGGATACCACCTTTACCCCCCAACAGTGGGAGGACGCATTATTCTGGCAACACAAAAGTTCCATTAGCACCCACTACCAAGAGACGAATTACAAACTAATCGCGCTTTGATACAAGACACCGATACTACTCCACAGAATCTTCCCTACAATACCACCGACATGCTGGAGATGTCTTGAGGAAAGAGGCACGATAATACACATATGGTGGGATTGTCGCCTCATAGTCCCATACTGGGAGATGATCAGAGAGACAATAACAGAGATTTTGGGAGAAATACCCGAGTGGACGGCGACACTGCCCCTTCTACATATTTCAACAATGTCGATTGCCGCATACAAGAAATCAATTTTACGTCATCTACTTAATGCAGCCAAAGCTTTGATCCCGCTATACAGGAAACTGATGGAGACGCCCCGGCTGGAAGAATGGATCCGCAGGGTGGAGGACATTCAGGGGGCGGAGGCGATCCAGGCTTCGCTTCTCGGGAGGAGAGACAGACACGCAGAAATGTGGCGACCATGGTTCACGTTTGTATCTCAGAGCAACTAGAGTTAGGCAGCCTGTGGGGGGACACCATGGGGGGGAGGTTGGCTCACTGGGGCATGGCCATTCATACCTCCTCTCCCTTACCCAATTCGAACTGCATCCGAGGCGAGGGGCAACTCTTTTTCTCCAATTCTTTTCCTCTTACCCTACTACTAAACACTTCTCTAGTTTCCACTTGTAATTCTTAACACATACACGCACTTATCAGGATGGGGCATGAATGCACCAAAAAGAGGAAACTGCCTTGTAATAGGAAAGAATCAGATCGATTATGTACAACAAACACGGTAACCACTCATCCCCGCCTATCGGGCCTCTTGGAACGACCCACAAACATACGCACACCCACCACCCTCCCCCCCCTTAGGGTAGGCTAGAGGAGACGGCCCACTTCCAGAATGACCTTACACTCACCAGCAATGCCCACGGATCCATACTGATACATACAGGGAGACGGGGATGTCAAACAGAGTCTCCTGAACTAACCTGGCCCAACCTGGCACATACCTTGAGTGGGCCCAATTACACATACTACCAAAAGACCCATTAGTTGTAGGACATGTTCAGAAACACATAACCAAAGGGGTGGTCGATAGTCCCACGTACCATTGGTAGGGTGATGAAGATAGCTTGGTACCATATAGTGCTCTGACCAAAATTGTACATGTCTTTGCGGTTTTTAGAGCAGGCAGCCTCAGCTATATAATGCTAATATGTCCGTTAAGTCCGTCCTGTGAAAATTTCCTTTGTACACAAATGCATAAAGTTATAAAACTTGGGACCTGCGCGTCCACATTGTTTCAATTATACATTTGTTATAAACGGATATATGAAACACAAAACTTCAATAAAAGAGATTTAAAAAAAAAAAACAAGTATATAGGGAGGTATATAAAAAATACCCCTTTCTGTCTCATTAGAGATATTTTGCCAGAAGCTCAAGGAAGCAAGGTAAAGGGTCAGAGTAGGACCCGTCTAGGGAGGTCTGCCTTGACGTTGGCAGGCGGCAGGCATTCCCTCCAGTGGCCATTTTATTAACTAAATGACCTCCATTTGTTTAAATATGCATAGGGATTAAGGAGAGAGTGCAGGTAACCTTTCTTTTTTCTTTGGTTTTTATAATATTTTTAATTAAAGTACAAATTAAAGTATATGCTATAGTAGTATATTTTACTAATAAATATATGCAGTGTATTATCACATTTGTAGCCAATGTAGGCTTCCAGATTCCATTTTATACACTTATGTAGTTAGTATTATATTGGAACCAGACATTACCTACATTGGCACAAATGTGAATTTGTAATTTGTGTATCCCTTATGTCCACTTCTGAGGGCTCTGTAAAGTTGGATGAATGTGACCAAAATATTGAATGTGGCTTCAAACGTGATGTCGTCACACATGGAAGCCACAAAAAGGAGGTGGAAAAATTCATTAGAATGGGTATAAAAATGGTGAACATTCGGAAACTACAGCTCTTGAGAAAGTCCTAAATGTGGACGAAACAGGTATTTTGGTGAACTATGACGAAAGTAAGGTGGACGGCGAGTAAATTTGATTCTTTCAGCACATTGGAATTCTTGTATTTGCACTTTACTAACACATGCAAATTGCGAACAGAAAGATTTCCCAAACCTGCAAATTACACCAAACCAGAGATAAGTGTCCCCCTATTGGGAAATGCAATCCTAGCACAATATAATTTGAGTGTCTGCCCTATTGTTTTTGTATTTAATACTACACAATAAGTTTTTTCTTTAGTTTTTTTCCATTTGTTGTTTTATGTTTTCCTCCATATTTATAAATGATTTTATCTGAACCTCATACATTTTTTAAGGTAATACATTACCGCACCTCTGCACTTTATTGTGTGTATACATTTAATCATTTGCGTCAAATAATTGTTTTGATAATTTCATTTACAAATGAGAAAAAATACAAAGTAGTCCTTTAAATAATTTTCTCATTTTAACTTGTTGGATCATGCGGTAAAACAAAACATTTAAATCTGCTAATATCATGGAAAACTTTATGAGTTGTAACCATCCTATGTGAGGAGATCATATGGTTTATCATATGATTTCCTCACATAGGATGGTTAAGCTGTTGGATGTTAGTGATATCGCTATTTTAGGGGTTCTTAGTACCGATTGTTAATCTGTCAATGTTACTCTGCCTAGAACAGTGCAGAGTAAAGCTTTATATGAACTGCAACTCAAACGGTTTTAATTTTTTGGGGAGTGGAGGGTATGAATTTTATTTATCACTGTAAGGTTTTTATTATTTATAATACTCATGTTGTATTTTATTTATTTATTTTTGTCTATTTTCAGTCTCTCTATGCAGATTAATAGAAGATAGGATATTAATATTCATGTAAATTGTGATGTGACTAACATATTGTTAATTTTTATTATTTTTATTATGTTTGCATGGAATTTATTTCGCGAAAATTACATACTAAAAAAATAAATAATTTAATTTTACAAAGTTAATTATATTCTCTGGAAACATAATAACGCTTTATATTGGTATTAAAATTATTTATTAGCATATTAGAAAGCAAACAGCATGCATTTGTCATAATGATGACATCCTCACTACAGCCAAAATGCATTTGCATTTTATGAAAAATTGAAAAAATAAAAATAAAAAACACAGACAATGAAGATGGGCAGTCAATGCAGACAAAATGTTTTTTTCCAAATTCTTCAGGTATGTTGTTTTTAACTAATTGTATCAAATTTAAAAAAGAGTAAAAATCAATTACCATTTAAAAAGGAAATCTACCATTAAGTTCAGCATCTAACACATTCTGCTTAACCAATACATGCCCTCATCTCACTCTGTATTGACATAAGTCATACCTTTGCAGTCCCCACCTCCTGTATCCACCTATATTGTAAGTTCCCACAGGAACAGAGCCATCAACTCCCCCTGAATTGTTTGGTACAATTTTGTATTGACTGTTAGATATATTGAATCTTTTTCTTTTTACCAATTGTACCCATGGACAACACTGAGAAATGTTTTTGGCACTTTATAAAGTATAATTAATATATGCCAATAGTCTTGGTAATAAAGTATAACTTTGTTGAATCCATATAATTTCACATATTTATATTTCTTACTATAAATTGTTGATATTATGCTGTATTTTCCAAAATGATTCTTTTAAAATTTTATAGCAAGTTTAAAACAAATCAACTATTATTTAATCTGGATTGCCGTTTATCTCATGATGTATTAAGCATCAATTAGATACAAAAAAATTATGAAGAAATCAATACTCATGTTACAGAATTAAAGCCACATGAATTCTGCATGTCTTTTGCACAAGGATGGTATTACTGTAGTTTTCATTTCAACAGAAGCATATCCATTTCAGGAAGCAGAGTAATTATGGAAAAATTAACTGATGGGTAATAATAGGTTGGAGGAGGAAAGTGAAGGGATAGTGATGATTTGTTAGACATTAGACACTAGATATGGGATTCTCTATGATTGATATAATAAGATTTACAGATTGTAAAATAAAGATCATAACTCTTTCTCTAGGCTTGATTACATTACTATGAAAAGTCCTGGTTCTTCAAGGTTTCTATTCAGTCATGAAAGGCAAATGTGTCAAGAGAGCTTTTCTGGATGATGGAATTCAACAAATGAAAAATAGTATTTCAAAGGCACAATAGAAAATCACAAGATAATAGCATTATATTCTGGGAGCAATCACAATGCAGAGTTAAATGATAGTGGAAACTAGCTATAATTTCCAGGACAAGGGGCATCTTTCAACCCCAAGGGCAAGTCAAAATGAATGCTCTAGAACACAGTGATCTAAAATCTGTTCGACAGACACTGGCTACTGTAGTATTCTGTAATAAACTCAATAGAAATAGTTTGGTGCTGTAACTTTTGTGATGGGTTTATCATTTGTGTTTTGTCTTGAACCAGTTATCAGTAATTATTTTGGTCTCATCTACATTAAATAGAAATTGTCACTATGTTTCATTTATGAAAGTCTGAGCAAATTATTAGGATGTGTCAGCCATCAGAAGAAAAAGAGATGCAATTAAAATGAAATGCACAAACCAATAGAGTTATGGTGGGGAAAAAGTGATTGAAAAAAACCTTTCCACTTGAAGTCAGTGGATAGAAAATAAAGATCTGCACAGATAAAGATCTCCTATTAAATTATATATTTTCTCCTATGATTTTACTAAACTCCTGCAGAAAAAATGTGACTTAAAGTAACACTATAGGCACCCAGACCATTTCAGCTCATTCAAGTGCTCTGGGTACATTGTCCCTATTGCATTTAGTGCTGCAATGTTAAACATTGCAGTTCAAGATAAACATCAATGTTTAATTGGCAGCACTAAGTCTGTCTCCAGTGGCTGTCTCCCAGACAGCCATTGGAGGCGCTTCCTGGATACTAACCCTTTGTAAACCTTTATTCACTGACTGGAGGGGGTGGCACAAGGGAATGGGGAGGCAGAGGGAGCTATATTGCCAGGAATACAGCTTTGTATTCCTGGCACTTATAGTATCCCTTCAAATAAAAGGGTGCAAGTTTGTTTTCTTACTTAATGTAGCGGACCACAGGTAAGTTGACTAATTACCTCTGCTAATTCCTTTCTTCAGCCACTCTGGAACCATTAAAGCATACAGACATCCATTTCCCCAGTAACAAAACGAAACATAATTCTGGGAGTCAACTCAGGTTTATTGGAACACACATGGCTTTTATGCACAGACCCCTATTATAATATTCTAAACCACTCTAAAACTACATTTTAAAAGATGGCAAATTTGATTGCATGAGAGGTCAAAGCTTATAATAAAAATTCCTCTTTGAAGTGGGGACCCCAACTGAGTCACTCTGCAAGGTGTGAGAAGTCACACACACGTGGCCTGGAAGTCTGGCTTCAGTATGAACTAACTCTGTCACTTGCTGTATGTCCTGATTTCCTCCTAGATAAGGTGTCCTTTGATATAAATAGTCAAACCCCCTGTGCTCCAATATCATATCCAAAAGAGACACTAACACTTACCCACATATTATTAACTAAGCCTCATTTCTATTACATTCAGAATAGGACAAGCACAATGTTCTAATCAAGCCCAAACATGATGTGGCAGTAATGCCTCTGCCACGTATTCTTGGAGGAGCCTGCGTGCCAGCTTCCTGCTTCAAGTCTATGGGCCCCTGCAATAGACCTGGCTAAAATACTTTAAAAAGGCTCTGTTCGTGTAATTGGGATACCATGGTTCAGTTCCTGAACAGCCACATGAACCAGAGACCACCAGGGAGCTTGTTAAGCCTAAATGACAGTTTGTAATAACTTTCCACCGCAGTGTTCTAAGAGTTCATTTGGCTGTTCTAAATGTTCGCCTGAATGACCACATGGTGGCGGCCGTCTTGTTCCCATGAAAGCAGGTAGTGGTGTTTGGTCGTCGAGTTCATGGAACTGTTTTCAGACACTGAAACTCCCGAACACCGCTGGACCTTCAGGATCGCCTGCGTTTGGTTCTACACAACTTAGAAG